CGCCCGGAGGGGCGGCGGCCGCGGGGAGGGGGCCGTAGCGCGGCCCCGAGCGGGGCCCGGCGGGGCGGGGGTGGAGCCGGAGCCGGTGCCGCTCCGTGCGCGGGTCCCGCGGGCCCGGCCGGGCCATCCCGGGGCCGAGCGGGGAGAGCGGCCCCGGACCGGACCGGGAGGGCGAGCGTGGCCGGCTGGGCCCTGCGGGACGTGTGTCCTGGCCCCCGACTGGGAGCGGACACTCCGCGCAGGGCCTGTGCCCGCGGGGCGGGCCGGGACAGGGACGGGGACAGGGACAGGGACAGCCCCGCGGGGCCGGGACAGCCGCCTGCACCCTTCGGGGCCGGGCCGGGTGTCCCGGGGCCGCCGTTCGGGCGCTTTTCCTGCCGCGCTCCCCCCTGGCGGGTTCGTGTGTCCGGGGCTGGCCCCGATCCCTCCTCTCGGCACTCACTGGGCCCTGGCTGGAGTTACCGGAGGGAAATCGGCTGCTTTAAAAGCCTTTTTCGCTCCTGGTGTCTCCCTCTTCCATCAAAACCGTGTCAGGACGTGTGTGCTCCAAGCAGTCGGTGTATTTTTATACCCTTTGAAATTGCTTCACGCCTGCTCTGAGTAGTTACACCCTCTCTTTGCATTTATCACTGTACCTTAAACAGCAATGCTGGAACAAGGTTTGGAATGTTTTTTGTTCTCTGCTGCCATCCTCTAATGAACTTCAACATATAGAGTCAATTAGAGTCACTTCTGTCCAGCCACTTTCATTGTCCTATTCAGTCCATGTAGGGTCTCACAGGTGCCCCTGTAGTGCTTTGTTTTCAAATTGCTCCCTCCGGGGTTTGACTACAAGCTCACCAGAAGGTGACTGTTGGAGATGTAACAGAAATCTTTTGGAATTCTTTTTTTACAGATAGCTCTCTGTCCGTGACCACTTTCAGATTTTAAGGATAACCATCACAGTGCACATAATTCATAGTAATCAAGTTAATAAAAACTCTTTTAAAGTGCAGTAGGTGCTGTCCTGAGAATTATGTGTTACAGGTCTGTGTTTGGACACTTGTGACTGTGAGGAGTTGATTAAAGACACAAAAACTGTAGTGGATCCTCCTTCCCCTGTTCTGTCATGTTCTCCTGGCTGCCATGTGTTCTCAGGGATCCTTTCAAGCTGCTGAATCTGCATTTTGTACTTGACTGGAAGAACAAGGCAAATATTTCTGGTGTTAAGCCTGTGCAGCTCCTGAGGTAATTGTTGGGTGGTCATGGAGGGGCCTGGGCTGTGGCCACAGTCCCAGCACAGCACCGAGACAGGCTCTTGTTACCCATCATGTCCTGGCCACACTGTGTCTCTTGGGCTGTTCCTGTTATTCCAGGATTTCTGACAGCTGTTGTGTCCCCAGTGCTGGGAGCAGGCAGTGGGAGCAGGGCCCTCGGTGTCCTGTGCCTGCAGTGTGGGCACAGCCCTCCAGCTGATCGTGAGGAGTGTGACTTACAAACATATGCTGCAGGAACACTGGATTTGTGCAAAAAAACCCAAAAATTCAGTCTGGAAGACCCTTGGGATACAGAGCAGCAGCTGCCATGGGTGGGAGCCTGAGAGCTTGGGCTGTAACTCATGGGCTGCCCTCCCAGCAGTGCTCCTTGTTCTGTTGTGTTGGGAAAGGATGGAGATTTCCCTCTCCTGACAGCAAGGACATCCCAGTGTCCAGGTGCTGGCAGTGGCACTGCAATGCAGGTTGTTTCTTCATTCCCAACACTGCACTGAAGGCAGAGAGGCCTGGAGGTGACACCTCCTCACTCTCCATCACTGCGAGATTTGAGGCAAGTACCTTAGAACTGCCTTCACCCATCTGGAAAACAGAGTTTGCTAATACTTGTTTCATGGAAATCCTAATGTATTCCTGTTTGCTTGTAAAGCACAGGAATATATGTGATATCCTGAGTTTGTGTTCAGCAAAGGAGCTTAAACAGATATTGAAGATGAAAAATACTCACTCTGTCTTCAAAAGCAGCTCCTGGCCCAGAGGAAGAAGTGGTTGCAAATGTCCCTGTGATTTAAAAAACTCCTGGCAATTAGATAAGTAGATAGATTACATATTTGTATCTAATAAACAGGTAGATGTAATTAATAAGGGCAAAACCCCAGCCCTATGTAGCTTCCTCCATGTTGCTGTCCTGCAGATTCAGGTTTTATAATGGGTCAAAAATCCAGCTGTCTTGGCCTGTGAGATCCTGTTTCCCTAACTTTCACCCTGGGAAGAGTTTAATGACCTCATTTAACTTATTTTTCTCTCATAGTTCAGTTTAGTGGGTATGTTGCAGGGCTTTGAGACACCATGTTTACCAACAACCTGGAAGAACTCAGTAGTAAAATGGTTTGCCCAGATTTAGTGTGTTCAAAGAATGTGAGGAACTGTGGAAAAACAATTAATTCAGTGTATGGGCATGATAGTGCTGATATATGTGGCTTAATGCTCCTAAGAGAAGAACATGGATCAGGTTTGGTACAGTGTATTAAAAATATATATTTGTAACTGTTGAGGGCCCTGTAACATCACTGTAAACTCTTAAGTTATGCTTGTGGAAAGCCAATGAGACCTTACAATAAGAATAAACTGTGTATTGAAGGATACAGGTGTAGCTGCCCCTGGAAGTGCCCCACGATGGCTCCTTGGAGTGCACAGCAGACAACAGCCTTTCTTATCTCAAAGGAAATATTGCAGCCACCAGGTGCCCTCTGAGCCTGTAAGTAAAATACTCAAGGGTAGGGGAAAAGTAATTGAAGAGAAAATGGAAGATAAATTATGCCTTCTTAAATAAGATGGACTGTCATAGCAGCTGCTAGAGGTGTTGATTGCAGAGCTCTGTGTACTGTAATAGAAGGATGCAGTAGACTGAATAAAAAGGTAAATAGTTCACAACTCCTACAAGACAATACTCAGTTGCATATTTTCATATCCAGTGGTACAAATTACATAATATATTTGAAGAACCCTATTCTGGCTGAGAACTTAAAAGTATTCATTAGTGTATTAAACATGTGAGCAGGTGGGGATCATGGAAGGTGCAATACTGACAGATTTGGTGAGGGGTGTGAAGGGTGGGACTCTCAGGGTGGGATTTTCAGGTAGTAAGGGTGTGTTTTAACTATTCCAAGTTCCTGTGCTTCCCCCTCCTGGTGGTTTGTGCCCTGTCCTCCCGGGTGTGGGCAGGGCCTGGGGGGCACATCCTGCCTGTGCTGGTACAGCCTGGCCCAGCAGTGCCAGCCCTGCTCTTCAGGGCTTGTCTGCAAACCTGTGCTCTTTGGGTGGTGTGAATGTGGGAAAACCCAGCCATCCTCTGTGGCAGGAGGGCCAGCAGGAGAGCAGCTCTCCCTCAGTCCCAACCATTTCTTCTCACAGTGCCAAAGGAAATGGTGGGTTTTCCCTGGGGAGATGAAGTGTAAAGATTTGGTCCAGGATACCAGTCCAGGGTGACTTACTTTCTAGGGTCACTTGTAGCTGCACTGGAAGTGTTTGCTTTTCAGCTGTGAGACAAGCACAGAAATCATCTGATTTTAACTCTACTGCTGGAAAGTTGTGCTTGGCCTCAGACCTGAGTGGTGCTGCCAGTCTGCCTCAGACTAAGCGATCTCTTTTCAAGTGACCTGCCTGAAGTATTGAAAGGTAGAACCAGCACTCAAGCTTACACAGAAAAAAAACACTCAGATTGTTTCAAGGAAGTTATTTTGGGTCTGCAGAATACCTCAGTACCTGCCTGCATCGTCAGAGTGGAAATTGTGACTGTAAAGATGATGCAAGAAATGTAAAGTTCCTGTGACCCGAAAGCTTTTGTGACAATTGCTGAAAGCCTTTTATTCAGTTTTAAATATTCCATCACTTCAGAAACCTTATATACCATTGTGACAGGGAATGTTTACATATTTTTTACGGTTCCAGTGCTGCAAAGGTAAGCTTATCCAACAGGCAGCAGTTGCAATCTTTGCAAAGAGATGAGACATATATTGGAAAGGATGTAATTAAAGCTGAATATTAAATACACAGACACAAGCAACAGAAGGCCCTTTAATGTATTAAGCAACAGAGGTGTTTAAAGCTGTTGGATTGCAGCTCCCTTGAGTTACTCTAAAGTAGGAACTAGTACAGAAAGCAGAGTTTAAGTTGTCCATAAAGGCCAGTTTGATAAGTTGCTTGTTATCAGTGAAGATATTGAGAAACCTTCAGCAAAAGACAGTTCCTCTCTTTGGAGCCTCATGAGAGGGAAGTGCATTTTCTGGGTACTTTGCTGAGGTGTGCTGTGCCCTGTGCCTGTGCTTTAGTCCTGAAGAGAAGTGCTTGTAACTGAATTTCACTATAGAAAGGAGAGAGAAACATGTTCTTGAAGTTTTTGGAAGGTGTATGTTTTGTTCTACTGACACTGATCAAAAATGCTTGAGAAGATCTGCTCCCAAGGCACCCTGCCCACCTGCTTTCACCTTGCTGTTCTCAGCTTCTGAGGCTTCTGGGTTTGGAATTGCTTCCACTGTGTAACTGAGGAAAATGGAAAGATGAAAAAGTGTAGTCTGTGAGAAAGTGTCATTTTTAATTTGGTACAAATGTACTGTGAACTTCATGGGAATGTAAATTTGAGAAAAATCTCAGACTGGTAGGATCACTCTTAAAACTGTTGTAAGAGTATCTGTGTCTTTAGTAGTGCTGTGATAAAAGATAAACCTGAGAGTGCTTTAAGCTCTTTAAAAGTCCAAGCTGACGTTTTAAGTGTCTTCCAGGAATAATTCTGTTCTTCCCTTAGTGAGACTCTGACCAGACTTTGGTCACACTCCTTTTGTCCCCATATCAGTGTACTGGCTATGTCTTGCAACTCATTGCTTTAGCAGACAGCTGGGTTGTGAGCTGCCAGGGGGGTTTCTGACCAGGAAAACAGAAGGTCTTGATTCTCTTGAAGGCTGAGGAGGAAGTCACATCACCCAAAACCAAGCAGCTTCTTAACTGCAACACTGAGATCTGCAAGGTGTAAGGTACATTTCCTGACTTTCTGGAAAGCTCAGTTTGTGGTTTAGTTCTGCTCTTTAGTTGCCATAAAGTGATTTCATTTATTTTGTGTAACTGCTGAACTGTTGTGTAGGGTTGAGGCTTCACCAAAGGACATTACTGAAAGGTGTTAACTTTTAGAAGGACTGTACAAGTCTGTCATTGGAGATCTCCCTGGTCAGTACAGTTATGATTTAGCTTTCACAGGTTTGCTGTTGTGATTAATAGTAAATACCTCCTTTTGCTCTGAAATATATTTTCAGCTCCATTTCTGTGAGTGTTTCTGTGAGGTCGGGCAAGCTGCAAGTGAAGCAGTTATTGAGATATTACTGTATTTTTGTTTCAAATGAAGCTGCTATTTGAGAGTCATCTTGAACCATAGTAAAGACAAAATGCCTAAGTGAAAGTACTTTAGACAAGTTGATTACTTTCTAATTGCTCTCATTTCATGTAGGTTTTCTTGTGTTATATGAAGGGCTCTTAGAAAAACAGGTTAGTTTGGTTGCTGCCTTGGAAATCTCCATTGCTACACTGAAAGGGTTGTGCAAGGTATTTATTGGGGGATGGGGGGAGGGAACACGGGCAGCTCATGGTTGTGTCAGCGGGCACAGGACGTCTCCTGGCTCTGCATCTGCCATGGTTTAGCCATGGAAGTCATTTGGCAAATACTGTGTGTGCCTAGAACAGATCCAGTCACTCTCTAGGAATCCTGGTGGGCAGCAAACATGACGATGATGTATTTGTGTAGGACCACAAGTGATAAAGTCCATGTGGGTTCTGAGGATCAGGTCCTGGCAGGATGTGGTAGTGGACCATGAGTGCTCCAGGCCTTTGCAAGTGAAGAGGAGCTGGGCTTGGCTTAATGGCCTCGTGCATCTTTCCTGGCTGACCAGAAGGGTCAGTCTGGTCTTGTATTCTGCCTTGCTTAAGGGCAGGTTTTTTAGAAATTATTTAAAGCATAGTCTTCTGTATGTATATATGTGATTTTCCTTCTGCTGTATGAATCTCCTGAGAATGTGTTAAGGAGGGAGCTGAATTACCACCTTCTGTGGTGGCTGAGGTGACAATCCTCCATATTACACCTTTGAGCTTTAGCAGGTTCTAGGAGGCAGCGATGCTGTTGGATAGGGTCATGGGTTGTAAAGTGACCAATTATCTGCCATGATCACCTTGTTTTCTGTAAAGTACATAAAAACTGGAATGTATGTACTTCCCTCGGGCACTCCCTTTGCCATCATGCCCCTGCAGTGGTCACAGGTGAGCAGTTGCTGTGGAATTAGCACTCATTTATAGAAACCAGTGCACAATATGACTCGCCAGCTCTCTGGAGACCTCAGGCTTCCCAGAGAACGGTAAGGTCCTGTGTGACTCTTTTTATGGCTCTGATTCATGCTGGATTCATGCTGAATCAGAGCAGCTGTGTCTGGGGAGAGCTCAGCAATAAAGTTGCCTTGCCTTCCCATAAGGTTGTAAAGCCAAGCCTAGCTCTGGTTAGCAAATCTCACAACTAAGGCTGCCTTTCAGCCTTGGTTGTGGCCTGCTTGAATATATACATGATGATGTCATTTTTAATTACATGCTCATTTAATTTTCTTCACGGGGATTCAGTGAATGGGGCATGATGCTCAGAGGAAGGGTGGACAGGCAGTATTTGTGGTTTCCTTCTTTGATGTGTGGCCTGTGTCTGATTCCTCCTGGGTTAATTTGGTTTGGGCTGAGCAAATATCAGTAAATTTTCTTTGCACCGCTGATAAATATGAAGGGTTGTAGTCAAGGACTGAAGGGCTGAGATGATGCTTATTAAGCATTGTGATGTGGTCTGGAAGAGTGTTTTTTTGGCTCTGTAACACATTCCAGGCAGGTATTCAGGGGCTCAGGCTGATCACTGGAGTTGGGGTGCTCAGGCTGGGGATCTGGTAACAGCCACAGAGTTTCCTCTGTGGCATCACCTGCACTGTGGAAGAGCTGCTGTGTCAGACTGAAGGTGGAGTCCCCCTCTAGAAGGACCTTCTGCTTGCCCTTCTTCCCTGGCCCTTCTTTTCACAGGGCAGGGCTGAAGCCCAGACAGTGGCTTTGGGCACTGTGAATCATTCCCATCACCAGCTCTCCTGTGCATCCACTCCAGCAAAAATAGAGGGGGGGGGGATGTAAGCAAAGGTGGCATCTTGTCCTTCAACTCCTGCTCCATCTGCTTCTCTTGTCCCCCAGCTCTTGTATTCCTGGTGCTGGAGCTGGGCTGCTCTGCCTCCCTAGACTACAGCACGGAGAGTGTTAGGAATAGAATTAAAAATGGGGTGGCTTGGCTGTCATGGGTCAGGCATAACCTGCATACTTGAACCTTCATATGCCTGAGGTTCACAGGCTACACACTTCATACTTTTGAGACTTTCTGGGAGAGGAAATGCTGGAGTTCATTGTGCAGGGGATGTGGGAGTGGTACCCAGGAGGTCCTGTTACCACCCACGGTTTGGTGCTCGGGGCAATCTCATGGTGATGGCTTCACCAGCCCCAACTGACTCATTTCCTTTTGAAGCCAAAGATCTGCGTTCCTCAGCAGCCATGGTAACAGCAGGGCCTGGCTGGGAGGGGATTTGGCAGGGAGCTGTGCTGGAGTCGTGCTCAGCAGCCCCTGAACAAGGTTTGGTGTAGTGCAGGTCTGGTGTCTGTGGATGCTGCTCTTCTGAGTCTGAGCTCTTCGTCATGCTGCTGCTGCAGTTGTGTTACTGAACTGTGCTTCCTCAGAATGCTCTACAGCATGATCATGTTAGGTGTGTGTCAGACTGGCCAATGAACTGATTTCTGTAGTAATTTGCTGGTTTGGTTTACTTCATGCATGCTTTGTAGTGAATGAAATTTGGACCACACTGATTCTGCAGCAAAATCATCTCTGACATTTAGTTTCTTTAGGTCCTTAATGTATTTAAAGGAAACTTTAATGCTACTGGAGTTACTCAATTTTAAGCACTGCTACATTTTGCAATGCCTTAGATCCTCTGTATTTTGCACATGGCCAAGCATTGCTCCACAGGCTACAGGTGGATTTCTGCATCCCCACTGACCTCCATGGGCTGCGGGGCCACAGGTCCCTCACCGTGCTCTTCCCCACAGCTTGCAGGGGCACCTCCACTCTGGTGCCTGGAGCACCTCCTGCCCCTCCTTCTGCACTGACCTCGGGGTCTGCAGTGCTGTTCCTCTCTCAGATTCTCACTCCTCTCTCTGGCTGCCGTTGCTCCTGTGCAGTAATGTTTTCCCTCATTAAATACTTTATCCCAGAGGTGCTGCCAGTGTTGCTGGCCCAGCCTTGGCCATTGGTGGGTCCATCCTGGAGCCAGCTGCCACTGGCTCCATCAGACATGGGGGAAGCTTCCAGCAGCTTTTCACTGGAACCAACCCTGTAGCCCCCTCATAGCAAAACCTGGCCCCACAAACACAACAAAAGGAGCAGAGGTGTCCTCAGGTGTTTCTGTTCTGCGATGCCCGAGGTGCAGATACCTTGAAGAAGAGCGAGTCATTAAGTCCACTGTGGCCTGGGTTTGAGATCCTCCTTCACCACTGACTCAGTGTGTGACCTTGGATATGCCACCTAGGCTCCCTGTGCCATTGTTTTCCATTAATGTTTGTTTTGAGGATAAATGTACCAGCAGTTAAGAAGTGCTTTAATTCCTTGGTGGTGGAAGTCATAAGTACAAAGGATGCTATTGCTGCTGACAAAGCCCACTTCAATTAACTTCAGATTAACCTACTAATGTTATGAAAGAGTTTTATTTGTTTTAAAAGGTATTTTAAAAGCTCTGAGTCAGTCGAGTGATGTGAAGCCTCTCATGGTGTGGTTTTGGAGAATCTTCTAAATTTTCATGCTATAAATCATATACACGAGTGCTAAATTAGAGCTCCATAATACCAGGTGTATCTGAGGAACCAGAGATTTCTTTTCATTTCACTGCCTGCCATAACATGTGGCCTATCAACCTTCTGGCAGGTTTATCTGGGGATACCTTGACTTTGCTTGTAAAATCTGAGCTAAGTATGGGACAGCTTTTTCATAATGTTGAAATATTGTCATTCAAAAAATAGTGATATTTTTATGATTTTGCCAAAATGTTTTCTGTACAGTGACCACAAGTATCAGGGAAATTACACTAGCTTAATTTCTTTACTAGATTTCTCAATTCAAAATGTTTTTCTGATTGTTTCAGGAGTAAAAGTTCCTCGTAATTTTCGTCTTTTGGAAGAACTTGAAGAAGGTCAGAAGGGAGTAGGGGATGGAACAGTTAGCTGGGGCCTTGAAGATGATGAAGATATGACACTTACAAGATGGACAGGAATGATTATTGGGCCTCCAAGAGTAAGTATCCAGTTAAATACTAAAATAGTACAGTTATTTTTTTCTTCCCTCTTTTTTTCTCCTAATTTAACCACCGAAGTACAAAAAAAAAAGACTAATGAGTGAAAAAACACTTCAGAAAGTGAATTATGTTGAAGTTCCAACTTCTGCATAATAATGGTTTTCATGTACTATATTGCTTTTTGCTTATAATTTGGAATATTTTAGTGCCTTTCTCTGGTTGGTTCTGTTACATGTCTGCTTTATATTTGCAGATCCATTAAGACACAACTTTTGAGATCCCAGAATTCTAGTACCCTGTACTCTTGAGTATTGCAAGGTTTAAAATCCATCAGCTAGTGAGGTTTCACGTGGAGATCATGGGGGTGCAAGGGGATGTTCTGTGCAGCACTACTGGTCTTTCTGCTGGTCCTCGTTGAGTTTATGGGTTGGTTTTTGTTGCAGCAGTTCTGACTTGCTCTTGTAGAGTTTCAGCTAACTCAGGAAACTCAAATTTTAACGAATTCAGTTCCTTCTCTGAATGTTCTCTCCCAAAGCAGCATCTTATAACGCAACTGGTCTTTGTGGGAGTGTTGTTGTGCTCTCTCTTCTCCCCCCAAGCCCTACTAAACTGTGGGTCTACACTCTAGTACTGAACTTGAGGACTTAATTGTGTTGTATGTGTTCATGTGTTCTAAAACCAGAACCTGTCTGTTGTCTCCAGTTTCACTGTTCTGTTTCCTTTCCATGGAGTGAAAGGAGCTGATTCTCCTTCCTGCAATAACAGATGTTGTCTTCTACATCTGGCCTCAGTATCACTTCTCAGTAATTCAGGGGTCATTATATGAAAATCTTTACAGTCCTTCAGTCATGCCACTGCCCTGTGTGTTCCCATTCTGTCAGTGCCTTTTTTGACATATGAGGTTGTACAAGAATGTACTTTATAATGGCATTACACATGCAGCATTTTCTATCTCATCCAGAAGTGTTGTTTACTTCTTGTCTGCCTTTGTTAACATCTCCCCAGTCACGATCATCTCATTTGTTTATGATATGCACAGATTGTTTTCTAGAACAGCATTTGATTTTAGAACATTAGGAGAGTGCTAATGAGCCTGCATTAAGGCTGTGAAGAAAGCTCACTGTGTGCATATACTTTATGGAAAATTTAAACAACCTTGAAATCTAATTTAGAGAATTAAATGGGAACTGAGATGTGCAAACAGGCATGTGCTGCCTTGCCAGCAGCAATAGAAGTTTGTCATTCATGTCATGCTGCAAACCAAGGCTAGAGGACCATCACAGGAGAGGATTCAGTTCTGCCTCTCTTGTCTTTCTGACACACTTAGGAATACAGATTTTTTTCCAGAAGTGTCTTGACTTCTTTTTAGCTCATTGCTTGAAGGCAACAGGCTGTATTGAGAGAGATTTTGGGAACTTCCAATCATTCTTGTTTGCTCAGTGGCTGTCCTACTTTTAGCACTATTCATCCTCAGTTACAACCATTTTGTTTCTTAATAGGACGTGGGAATACTGGCTGTGGAAAGTCCTATCTCCATCTGGGCAGAAAGCAGTCATGCTTGTAGCAGGTGGAAGAATCTTATGTTGGATATCTTGGGGGGGAAATGAACAGTGCTGCAGCTTCCCATGTGCTGCTGCCCCGAGTGTCCCTGCGGCCACACACGGAGCGTGTTCTCCTTCCCAGGCCAGGGGTTCACCTTGCTGATATAGGCTGCTTAGAAACAGTGGCACTGCCAAAGCCTCAGCTTTATCAGCACATGTTTTACACTGGCTGTTCACAACCAAGGCTTCCTGCGTGGGGTGGGAGTTCACAGAGACCCCAAAGCCCTGCACAAAGCTTGGGGCTGTTCCTTGCACAAGGCAGCTCAGGGGCACAGTCAGGAGATCTGGGCAGGGCCAAGCAGAGCTGATGGGTGACTATTTTCTCCCAAAACTTTGTGGCAGTGCCCAGTTTGCCCCTGCCCTGGTTGGGCATGTGAAAGGCTGTGTGGCTGAGGAGCAACCAGGAGGTGCCAGCACTGACCAAGGGCTTGTCCTGCTGCTGGTGGTGCAAGAGGGATTGAAGACACTTCCTTGGCACAGATGAGCAGCAGCTGGATCAGGAAGTTAGTTCTTACATTTTGACAGTGGTGTGCATCAAAACATTCATTAATACCAAGGGAATTATTAAGCTGTTCAGAGTCAAAGCAGGCCTTGGAAGGGATTGCACAGTTTTCCACTAGGAAGGTTTTGGACATTGGGCAACCACTCTAAAGTCCCAGTGATACCATCATGCCCTGGTGCTTACAGGTGAGCAGGAACTGCTTCTGGGCTCACCTGGATTTTTGTTCATGCTCACTACCCTGTGAGTTTAATGTCCATTGCAATGTTGAAGGTGCAGGAAATTGTGTCAGAAGCTCTAAATCTGGAGAGTTTGTCTGCCTAAACTTCCCCGTGGTGATCCTGTTCCTGTTGTGTAAGTCTGCCAGCTGCCCACATTGCCCAGCTCAGCTGGAGCTCTGGACCAGCTATGCCAGAGCAGCACAGCAAGAATAGTTATTCTCAGAATGCAGAGTGACATTAACTGTTGTTGTTCCTTCTAATTATTTTGAAATATTGAAGAATCAGTGTAGCCATGTTACATTTGTCTCTCTTTGTACCCACGGATTAGTTAGTTACAAACCCAGGATCCAGGATTTCTGCTACCTGGGAGTGGGACAGTGTTCCTGCTGTGGGGACAAAGTGATAGTGCTGTTTGGGATCAGGATGTCCTTTCAAACATGTTGAATCTTGGAGCCTTCCCCCTTCTGGGAACCAGCAGGTTTATGACCAAAGAATTCTTTCCAAGAGCAGTTCTAGGATGGACCAGCTGCAGATCAGAAACTAAAGTTGTGGCCTTTGGTTTCAAGGTTGTGTGTGGGATTAGGAAACTGATAAAACAAAGCTGCTTTATAAAGATTGGTTGGAAAGTTATATCTGAGCTATATGATGATTTAAAAAAATCATTTCAGCTGCTGACTGGGAAGCAATGCCAGCTCCATTTCCTCATATGAAAATCTGATGCTTAAAAGAGCAGTAGAATTTATTAGCCTAAAGCAGAAACATTTGATACTCTGAATATTATAAAATGAACCCAAAACAGAGGTAGCCAGCATAGTATCTAACTGCCTGCCCTTATGTTTAGTAATTCCCATATTCCTAAAGGAGCCACTGCTTTAACCAAATGCTAATTGAACTGCCTGATGTAATTCTTTTCCCCTTTCTTTTCCCCTCAGACAATTTATGAAAACAGAATATACAGCCTTAAAATAGAATGCGGGCCTAAGTATCCAGAAGCACCTCCATTTGTAAGATTTGTAACAAAAATTAATATGAATGGAGTAAATAGTTCTAATGGAGTGGTAAGTTTTTGGCTTTTGTTCATTTTAATGTTGTTTTTATGTGCAGTTTCAAATGCTTTGTTTATACTTGTAACTTGCTTAACTACTCACTGCTTGTGGTGCTGTTTGTTCCAGGAGGAGGAAAGGGGGTAGCAGGGAAGTGGACAAGTGGAGATTTATTATGCTTTTAGGGAAAACACTTGCTTTTGCTTTCTTTGCTTTCTCCCACTCAGATTTCATGTAGGATCTTTAGTTGGGGGTGTGGGTGGAGTTAAGTGTATCCAACATGCCAATTCTGACAGGAATGGTCTTTTTGTCTATTTTAGGTGGACCCCAGAGCCATATCAGTCCTAGCAAAATGGCAGAATTCTTATAGTATCAAAGTTGTTCTGCAAGAGCTTCGGCGTCTAATGATGTCTAAAGAAAATATGAAACTTCCTCAGCCACCTGAAGGACAATGTTACAGCAATTAATTAAAAAAAAACAAAAAAACAAAAAAACAAAAACCAACATGCCCCCCTTATTCAATTTAAGCTGTCTTCATTTTCCACAGTAGTAAATTTTCTAGATGCATCTTGTAGACCTCAAAATACTGGAAAGGAAGTTCCCATTCAAAGGAGGTTTTTCTTGAGATACTGTAAATGATACTAATTTTTTTTTCATTTGAAATATAAGTTGTGCTATAACAAATAATCCTGTCGTGTAACCACTGTCCACATAGCTGAACTTCTGGTATCAGGAAAAGTCTATTTAAATTTATTACTGTCAAGACCAGTGTGGCACATCCAACTTAACTGTGAAAGGATCCATCCCACAATCACCTTGCTGTGTGTCTGGCCTGGGTTATTTTTTTCTTTCTCTGTCTTTTGCAATAGAGTCGAAGCTCAGGGCTATTTATTAGAGTAGACACAAAGGTTTTTGCTTCCAGTGCTACACTGGGCTGTATGGACTACTACTGGGGATGTGTGCTAACCTCAGTCATCCCTCCCTTTGTGCTCGCTCTAGTAAAGGCTGAATGTGACTGTGGTCGTTTTTGGGGTTTTATTATTTTTTTTTAAAATGCCCTGATAATCTGGGGCAAGCTTTCCTTCTTTCCTTTGGCCAAGGCATAGATTGTATTTCTCTTCCTGGTCCCCCTCACCAGTGACGTGGGCTTTGGGTGAGGGATTCAGGGTTCTTTTAATCTCTTCCCTCTTCCCCTCTTTTTAGTGGGGGTGCTGCTTTCTTTTTGCCCCTTTTGGTGACTCTTCTCGCCCCTGGCCCAGGGGTAAGTGTTGGGGCAATAACTTGACCTGTTCCCTCTTGCTTATCATTTTGGTTTTGCAACAAATTTAGTCTTCACCAGCCTGGAAAACAAGAGTATCTGTTCTGCTCGCAAACTTGGATTTTCCCTTCCCTCCAGCACTGCTGCCACTCCGCCAAGCTGGCCACGGCCGTGTTGTTAGATAGGCTTTGACGTGGGGAAAAGAGCAGTAATTTACCAGGATTGCCCAAATCTTCTGCTGCCAAACTTGAATGGGGGAAACTCTGCACGTAAGAGATTCTGAACACACTCCAGCCACACTCAAATCGTTGTGTTTTGGTGCTTTGGATTGACCCAAGAATGTTAATTAACAAATTGTTGCACTTGCGTTTGGCCCTTCTAAAGATGTGACAACTACAGACAAATCAAATCCGTGTGGTAGATTTTATTAGTATTCTGTAAGTCTTAGAAATCTCTTCAGTGAAGATTTTGGGGAAGTGTTGTACAGCAGATTAAGGACCTTTACTGGCTTTGCATCCTGGCAAATCACTGCCTTTTCTGGTTTACTGTTTTGGACCACTAACTGCTGCAATGTGGATGCAAGCTTACAGAAACCAACCTAGTGTGTCCTAAGTTTTATGAAAAATTCAGTGTTTGTGTAAAAAAAAGAATAAAAAAAAAAGGAAAAAAAGAAAAGAGTAAAAATAAACACATTTTAAAGCAGCAGCTGTCAAGTCAATGAACAATTGATGTTTCCATTAACTTTTGAGGAAAATATTAGTTGTAAGGATTTAACATCCTCTGTACTGAAAGTTTAACATAACAGTATTCCATAAGCAGCCTTTTTATTGTATCAGACCATTGCCTGATTTTAATATAATAAAAAGTGTGCATTAATATTAGAAGGCTTTAATTGTATTTATGTTTAGAAATTCTGATCCCTTATGGAATTCTTGATTTGTTGGAAGTATCTTCCTACAGATCACGTTTAGCTGACAGAATGTAACCTGGTGGTGAAAGGCAATTGTCTCTGTCCAGCTGCTGCTGCTGTGCCAAGGAGCATCTGTACTTTTGGTTTAAACCTCAGGCTGCCCCAGCCTTGGCAGTTGGTAGGGTCAGGATGTGCCAAGGAGCTGCCAAAGGGAGTTCCTGGCTCCGTGTGCTGTCAGTGCCGTGGCCTTGCTGTGCTGTTGTCTCCAGGAAATCAAATCCTCTGCAGTTTCATGTTATGCTGTCTGTCAAGGTCAAGGGCAATTTCACAACCTGAAGTTTTAAGTGGTTTCACTCAAATAGCAAAGTGCAACAAGCTGAGCTTCTCTCCAAATCTGGGTGAAAACGGAGCTGTGAAATTTTGACCTTTTCCAAGTGTAAAGTGTCTCCATTTCAGAGGATTTGCTGGAAGGTCCTGGTGCACTCACTGCAGTGTTGGGGTGAAACAAGGTTCTGCCTGGGTTGGGAATGAAAAAGGGAATGATCTTTGTGAAACTTTGTGAAACTCGCTGCTGGTTTCTGGCCTGGAGTGAACACTGTTCCCTTCTGGGGCAACCCAGAGGGTGTCTGTGAAGACAATGTGACTAATACTATGTCAGTGTCGTGTGTGTGTGTGTTTATTTAAAATAGCTTCATGTCAAAGATGGTAAATGGGCATCAGAACAATTACAGTGGATAATGACAGTGGGCTGCTTCATTGTCTCTGGTTTTCAGAGTGTCCTGTTTGGGAGGTTGGTGCATGTTTGGGGCCTCCCTGAACCTTCCTACTTCAAGTAATGATTTTTAAACCTTGCAAGTGTCTGGTTTGCTTTGCAAGGTGTACAAGTTAGAGCATTCCATCCTGGCTGGGAACTGTGCTGGCAAGAGTCACTTGACAGCATCTGCCATACAAAGTTGGATGCTGCTTTTAAAAAAGAAAAAAAAACAAACTGGTTCATTGTGAATGTTCTGCCCTGGGAGTTGTGTGCTTTGGACACTTCACTGCTCCCTTGCTGTTCCACTCAACCAGTTAGGGCTGGTGTGGAAAAATAACACCCAGGGAATGATCTGCCAATGGATCTGTGTGTGGTGGCTTTGTCAGGGGATGTGACCTGCACCATGGAAGTGACTGGTCATCGCACAACCTGGTGCTTGTTGGTGCTTCAGAAATGAGGTGGGGAGACAAAACCGTGCTCTACCTGTGTTTATGTGAACTCCAGCAGTGCAAAGGCAAAGCGTTTGGTTGATCCCCGCTGACCTTCACTTTGTGTCCTGAACCAGTGTCTCTTTGGAGAAGGGTATGAAGGGATAATAAATAAAATAAGCTGATTGGCCATAAAATAAGTGCTGTTCCTTGGAGCAGGTGCTGCTGGAGGTGCTGGGGCCGGGCTGAGCAGGAGCTCACCTTGCACTGCTGCCAGCAGAGGGGCCGTGAGCCATCCCTGTACTGAGGATGCTGGACTCTCACCTGCCCGTGCTTCCCGGGGATGTGGAGTGAGCCTCTGCCTCAGCTCATCCTCGGAGACGGCAGAGGGAGCCAGAAAGCTTCCCAAGGCTGGGGCTGGCTCAGGCTGCTTGGTTTAAATGTTACGTCCTCTTGTGGGAACCACTTTTCATATTTATCCAGAATCAATTTCAGTTTTAAAAGCCTGTTTATCGTGACTGTCTCACTGCACAGGCATTAACTTGCTGGGGAAATACCAGCAGCTCAGTGAGATCTTAATTGTTAATAAAGACTAATGGTTGTTTGATTCTTGCTGTGTTGTAATTAAGCCCTGTGTATGTAGGGAGTGTGCACTTGTATGTGCTTTCTGCTCTCTTACAACTCCGTGCAGTGCTTTATATTTAGAATTTAAGTTTCTTCCACTATCATTAGAGCCACAATTTTTAAGCCAGAAAGTGTCATCAGCCACTGTCCAGGACTCCCCTGCTGTGTGTGGCTCATCCCGGACACGGAGCGGGCAGAGTGGCGAGTGGGCACGTCCGTGCCCGTCAGCCTTGGGCACACACTGACCCAGTGTGGCATCTCAGAGCCCCAGTCCTGGAGCTCTGGTGGCACTGCCAGGCAGGCGAGGGCAGAGGGACAGTGTTAAGCTGGGTCAGTTCCAGTGTGAGGGACTCAAACCCCGCAGGGATGTGCAGTGGGATGTGCTCCTGCTCCTTTGCCAAATACTTGTCGTGTCTTGCTGGCCTGTCAGCTGTTTGTGGCTGACCTTGCTGTTTGTGGGAACTGGCCCTTTGGCACCTGAGGTCGCTGCTTTACCCACAGGACAGTGTTTCTTACACCAAGAAAGAGCACAGTGGGTTCAATGTGGTTTTTTTCAAGCTGGCACCGACTTACCTGCAACAAAGGGGTTCCAGTTCTGCACATACCTGTAAATAAGCGTCTGTGTCAAGCTCTACCTCCCTTGAGCTGAAAGAAGCTGAAGAGAATTTGATATTCTTAATATCTAAGTTTTTTTACTTATTGTTTTATATTTAACAAGCTTTTTCTGAAGGTTTAAGAGTGGAATTGCCCTGAAGTTGCATTAATCTTTGGGTGGTGTGCTCCCCAACGCACACTAACCTGGCTGCTGACTTAGATTCTGGTCCCTCAATAGCTCCTCGTTTTCTCTGGTCATACTATAGCACATTGCTGGAGAATGTGCTGAACTTTTAAGCCTGTGAAGAACCCCAGTAAGGGCAAATTTAAGTTAGGCAAATGTTTAAGTGCTTTCTTGGACCAGAGCCAGCATGCTCAGCCTCTGTTAGGAAAGAGGCTTTTTTAGCCCTTGTTTAGCATCTTCTTCCTCGTCCTCTATTCTTGGTGCTACATTCCTAGTGCTTGTGCCTTTGCTTTTTGTGACAACAAATGTGGGAGACATCAGGGAAAATGTAAAGAGCAGAAGATGATGTGGAGGATAAGGAGATAAACTGGATCCTCAGCATTTTATCTGTCAAGTATCTTGTCACCTTTTTTCATCCTTATCTCGTTTTAAATAAAGCCTCAAGGGGTTTTCAGAAATGTGGGTCCTGTCCTAATTTTGTGCCTCTTAAGCCAGATTGTTGGTGGCTTTGCCCTGACATGTCTTGAAAACCCTGCAGAACCTTGACAGGTGATAGGAGGGGAGAGTAAATGTCCAATGCTCTAGAAGTCTCCTGGCTCTCTCTATTACTCAACCTCTATTATGGTGTCTTTGTTAGCTTTCCATGCACCAAAGGATGCTTCAGGATAGCCAAAACTGAAGTTTCTTAGGGAGGAAAAAAACAACCAAACAGGAGTTTTGGAAGGAAAAGGAATGTAAACTTTGAGCCATCTTCATCAGAAACGACAAGGCCGTTTCCCCTTCCCACTCTTTGTGTAGACATGCTTTAAAAGCACGTGTTCCTCATTGGCCTGATCGTGGTCTGCAGATCTACAGAGAGGAGGATTTTGTTTGCTTGGTGGTAGGGGCTTTCTGGGGCTGGTTTGTTGGTAGTAAGTGGAGGCAGAGGGAAGACAAGCGGAGGGGAGGCTGGAAGGCTGGTGAGTGGTGCTGCTCACACGTGGGCTGGGGCAGGGCAGGGGTGCTTGGTTTGGTGAGCTGGTAACGAGCTGCTGTGAATCCCCTCGAGACAGGGGGAGCACACACAGTCCCACACCTTCAGGAGTGTTCCTGGCCATTAGGAGCAGTGTCTAATTGCAGCTTTGTGCAGTCATTTCAGATGCTGTAAGTGGGATCAGGGTGTACATCAGCTGTATGTGTCATCCCAGAGCAGTGAGTGGGACTTGAGGAACAGCCGCAGCAGAACAGAGACCTCGGGAAGGATCTGCCAAACTTCTGTCCCTCCGAAGAGACCTCTTAAATCCCTGGGCTACCAGATTAGATGCTGTCCAAGGTTAGCGGCCAGATGTTTCTCAGCTGTTTGGACTGGTTTCCAGCTGAGACCGAGTGAGTGGCTGTCCAACATGTACGTATGAATATAAACATTTTAGAGGCCTTGCCTTGAGTGAGCCATTAAAAACTTCCCACGATCTGTGAGCGCTGCTGGCTTCCTTGGAGAGCACCAGCATTTTGTACATCGCACTTGAGTATCCCGAGCGGGTCAGGCTCAGGCTGCCACCTGCTCACACAGCACTGGGGCCAGGCCTCCCCCTTGTTTTAGTGGCGCCAGAGCAGTGTGGTCCCTGGAATTTGATTATTTGTGTTAGCAGATAATTTAGGCCAGAAGGCTGAGAGTGTTCGCTTCCTTCCCTGGATGTCGTCATGCTTCCCAGCAAAGCACAGTCCTGGGGCCTGTGTCCCTTCCCCTCCCCTTGCCCCACAAGTGCAACAAAAACTCTTTCAATGTCCCTTCTTGTGAAGGGTCACTGTCCACTCGTTTTAAGCTTGGTTTTGGCTTGTGCAGGCCTGCCAGAAGAGGAGGATTTCATTAACTCTACCGTGTAGAACCATGGTTTTAATTAATCCTTGTATTAAAAAAAACCAGTGAGTTTTTGATGTGTGGTTCTTCTCCTGAAATGTGGCTAATGCCACCCATGAGCTTTGGTGTTCGAACATGAGTGACGAGAAATGACCCCCTCTGGTCTCTCACTGCTGTGAAACAAGATCCTTCTGATGCTTTCCATCATTTTCATCAGGTTTTAGTGCTTTGGTTCTCCCAGACCTGGCTGTTTTAGCCCCAAAGTGATTGTGTTTTACAGCACAGCCAGGTCCTGCTGGAGGTGCGGGATGGTTATTTACAGAGGCAGATGCTGTTCCTTGGATTAGAGTGTCTTGGGGCCAGATTCCAGGAGCTGAGTTCACACCCCAGGGCTGGTGCCTGCAGTGAGAGCAGCAGGTGAGCTCAGCCTCCTTCCTTTAGAGTGGCTGTATTAAAACCTGAGGAGATGTCCTGGGGCTGTGGGTCTCCTGTTACCCGAGATCTCTGGAGAGCTGCTCAGAGTGAGATGCAGAGGAGGAGTTTTTTAGTATGAAAAGTTTGAAAGCCACAGGTGTTAAGGGCATGGATAAAAAGGGAAGATTTAACAAAATAATCCAGGTGTTTAGGCTGGATTTAACAAAATGAATTTTGACATTTAGGCTGAAGGGGTGTAAGGTGGTGTCTTCATCCAGCACCTGGCAGTCTTACTGGGCACAGTCAGCCCAGCCAAATACTCTCTGAAATAGTGAACTGCTAAACACAGAACTTATTTATAGCTCTCTTTGAAAAACCCAGAAATACCACCGTGGCAGATGTTTGCTGTATTGGGTGCTGAACAGGAGGTCCTGAAATTGGGGCCATCATTTCATTTACTGACAGCCAGAAAATCCAAACCTGAGAAGGCCAGGGCAGATTTGTCCAAATCACCCCTGCTGCGGAGTAGTGAGGGAAAAGGGCCCTTAATTAAGGAACAGTGTTCCCAGGGGAAGGCAGGGCTCCCAGTGGCTGCTCTGCTCCCTGCCATCTGCTCCTGCCCATGGAGGCAGGTCCTGCCTCTGCCTGCCAGGTTTTGGGGTGTTTTGCAAAGCCTATGAGTGACCTGCAGGTCAAATCCATCCATCTGATGCCTCATGGTGTTCAACCTGGGGTGTAGCATTACCTGTAAAAATAATAAGAAAAAAAGTTTAGGAAATCAGATTTTTAAGCCAGCTTGGCAGAGTGAGGTGTT